AATGGTGAATATATAATTGAATAAAATGTAATTTTACTTATTTTTTTCAAAAAACAATAAAATTTGATAATTATTTATGTTTCAAAATTTATATTACAAAATTTGATAATTATTTATAACCCAATTTAATAGATATAAAGGGTGTTCCAATAACTTGGACCGATTTTAATGTGAATTAAGTTTAAGCGTCTAATCTTTTTTCTTTTTCTTTCAGATTTGACGGACATTTGGGCGATATTATTTTTCACACATAATTGCCATGACTTAAATAACATGATCTAATAAAAAGATAAACGAATTTTCACCAATAACACCAATTTATTTACTACGGATTTTGATCCGTCTTAATGAAACACCTTTATATATAATCCGTTTTAATAAAACACCCTTTACAATCGTTGTTTTTACAACCTACTCTCATTGTTCGTATTCAGTTTAAAATGGAATGATCGATTGCTGACTTTAAAAACAGGTCGACCTCCCCACACACACATACCGGAAGATTGGCTCAAAATAATCTTTCAATCCCATATTATCCCACTGAAAAATTGACTTTGAAGCATATGGAAATATATTTATTAAAAAAGCATTGTTTTTTTACTTTAACTGTATCTCGATAGAAATGAAATATTAAGTTCATTAGTAAGAGTACTAAGCGCTTATATAATACTGCTCTAGCTATGTGGCAAATGTGGTTCTACAGAAGGATGCTCAGAATCCCACGTGAGTAACGAAAATATTTTAAGTGACATGGAAACAAAAATAAGACTTCTGTTTAGAATCAGAAAGAGACAACTGACATTTGTAGGATACATAATGAGGAAAATGGGTTTAGAGAATCTGACACTCACAGGACATATTGAAGAAAAGAGGGACAGAAGAACACTGCCTTAACCGACCTTGTGTAAATGGTTGGCAGAACAGGGATTAGGAGAGACAACCGAAAGACTTTACTAAGAGCGATATAGCGCAGGAAGTTGTGGAGAGCAATGATCGTTCACGAAGAAGAAGAAGAAGAAGAACTCATTAAAATTAGAACTTGATTCATCTACTGTCGTTTCCTGTTCGGTTAGCCATTATGGAAATTCTACATCTTTATGCCTTGTTATATGGAACAGGAGTAAACGACTTTTTAAGCGGGAACGGAGAAGACGTGAACTCACATAAATCTTTCCAGCGGTGTGTAAATCAAAAATCATTTCTTGTGCGACGTACAATAGGAACCGATGCGTCTGCATATATAAGCTCGTTCTAAAATAGAGTCTTCATCATAAATTCTTTCATTACTTTGCACAAATGAAACGAAGTAAAGATGATTGCAGCTCGTGCAATTAAAGGAAGTCAATTAAAGTCCGGAATCATGCCCGAAGCATCAAGAAGTAGCGCCTTCAGCAATTGGGGACAATTTGAAAGCCTTATGAGATGTGCCAAAGCTATCATCATGTAACTGCACAAAATAGGAAACCTGGAAAATTCATAATGCGATCCCAAACGATTTTCAGGAATAGAGAGAATTGTTAGCTTTAGGTATTAGGCTGCTGCAAAAGACCCTATTACCATTGCTTTTCACTATTAAAGAAATCTTATAAATGTCACTGGAGTTTACTCAGCTTGTTATGACTTGTGATGTCAATCAACTTATTTTGGCGAAAATCCTGGTCGAATATAAAATCAATATCTGAATTTTTTTACCATTCAAATAAATGGTAAAAGCAGGCACTTCGACGAGGTGTAGTGGTTAGCAAGCTTGTCTCGCTACGTCTATTACGACTAAATATTGAGTTCCTTCCTCACTGGGTGCTTCATATTATTGGCCTTCTGACACATCTAAGCCACGCTTAGAAAAGTATCATATAAATGGCAAGAGTAAGCACATCGTCGTTTTGTAAAGGTTTACAAACTTGTATCGCTTAGAAAACCAACATATAGAAGGTTTCCCGGTGAGCTTTTGCAAGCGCAGGCAGAAAATTATCTGGGATTGAGGTCATGTCCTGCTTTCTCAAAGCTCGTTTCAAGATTAAACGATCAGCCCTTTTTTTTGGTCGAAATCCTGACAACCATCTTCACACGGATCGATTTTCTGTCAACGTTTCCCTCAGCATCAATATAAAGTGTTAAGATTTATTTTTGACAACATTCTTAAAAACAATTTATTTTGTTTCGGATGTTTACCACGTAAAACCTCTCCGTAACCCCCCAAAAAAAAAAAAAAACAATTTCTTAGGTTAACTGCCATCTCTCGCTTGCTTTTCTTATTTGTTTATAATGTAGGAGCTTTTCGATAAGGGATTTATTGGCCATTTTTCTAGAGCCGGCCAATACATCGCGTATCAAAAAACTCACGCTCTAAATCAGTTATGACTGAATAGTGAGTTCGATTCTCAATGCGGGCTCCTCACATGCAATCTTTAATAATACATTTAATAATAAAGAAATTGAATTTGTGCAGAGCCATGATCGCCTATATCTTGAAGAGACACGTCACCCGATTCAATTCTTCTACCCTATCTCTTCTCATCTTCTTCATCCATAGCTATCTTTGCTGAGTAATACCGACTTCATGCGTGATCCGTTTCTCTTTTCCCTCCTCGATTCGAAATAGTGTGTCGCTTTGATCGGATTGATTCGGATTCCCCAAAATATTACGATATTGGGATTGGAAGTGAAATCTAGTGATGGACCGAATAAATACGTTATGTACCACAGACACGTTTGCGTAATTCCTGTTTGTGGTCGTGTTAACTTTTGTCTCTTTGTGTACAATGACAACGTCAGGAATCATGACTGGAATAAGAACTTCTTCAATAAATTTCATAACACTGTTTATGACTCTAACATTGATGAATAAAATGTCTCTATTATTTACCGCAAAATCACGCTCTCCTTTTTGTCTGAAGGTGATTTGAGAACTTAACAGTAATTGTTGTAAAATAGTGGAAAAACTGTATGTGTCTGAGTATTCGCTTTAATCATAGACATGCGTATGTTTTCTTGTGAGGCTAGTACCAAAGCAAATCTCTGATGTCTCTGTTGGCCTGATCTTCCGTTTTTAGGTCCTCGTTTATATGGATAGCTTCCTCTTCTTAAATTTGACATTGCTATATCTAATTTCTCCACCCTTACTGTCTTAATCTTAGAATATCCTGTTAATAACCACATGATATTCTGTGAATTTTCTGTCCTTTCTTTTTGTAAAGATGATAGTGTCTTGGGTAGACAGTATCAATATAAATAAATCTCAAGATTGGAAATTAGACAAAATCCAGATTCCTTAAAAGAATTTGTGTCATTCTTTTCTCCAAGGATATGTGCGTAAACAAAACGTCAAGTTTGGGATTTTAGGTATGGACCAGATATATTTCATATATATATATATATTTAGAAGAATTTATATCACTCTTTTCTATAAGAATAAACACGTTTATGACAGATAGTAGGAATGTAAACAAGCCATCGAATTTAATTCATCAGGACGAAAAAAAATGCATTCAGCATGTCTTCTTATCAACGTTAAGTGAATAAAGTAAGAAAACCTTGGTTTTACTCTATTTTACTGAATATTGACTAGTTAATTCTGTGTTCGATTCACTTTGGACACGTTCTTATATACATTTTTATTGTTTTAAACATAATTCTTAACTCGTTCCTTTTTTATACTTTCAGATAATCGACCTAGTCTTCCTAGAATTTTAATAATTATTATCCAATTAGTAATACCTCTAAATCTCGATCCTGCAATTTCGTGCAGTTAAACGTTTGAACGGAGTTAGTTCCCTGTCACGCCACGTCTAGCCGGAAACACTTAGACCAACACAAGAAACATTGTTAACATTCTCTTATTTTTCATTCTTATATCGTATCCATTTATGACATAGGATATAATGGCTCTCCACAATTTCCTATCATTCGTAGCACTTGGGCTTGTTTTTTCGTCTTTTCGCTATCTCAGCAAATCCCTGTTCTGCCAACCATTTACCCGAGCTCTTTAGATGTTTACTCGCTACTATCCTCTTACCCCCTTCTGTCAGTAAGTCCTGTGAGTGTCACATTCTACAGGCTCTCTTCCCTCATTATGTGCCAGAGAGATTTTAAATGTCTCTTCTAAGGAAGAGGGTCCTTTTTGTCTCACCGGGGGCTCCGTACATTCAATCTTTAATAATACATTTAATAATAAAGAAATTGGATTTGTGCAGAGCCATGATCGCCTATATATTGAAGAGACACGTCACCCGATTCGACTCTTCTCTCCTATCTCTTCTCATCATCTTCTTCATCAATCGCTTTCTTTGCTGAGTAATACCGACCTCATGCGCGATCCTCTTTTCTTTTCCCTCCTCTGTTCGAAATAGTGTGTCGCTTTGATCGGATTGATTCGGATTCCCCAACATATTACGATATTGGGATTGGAAGTGAAGTCTAGTGATGGACCGAATATATACGTTGTGTACCACAGACACGTTTGCGTAATTCCTGTTTGTGGTCGTGTTAACTTTTGTCTCTTTGTGTACAAGGACTTAAAGATTCATCGTTACTCACATTTTCATTAGATGAGATTGCCGGGAACCTGCAGAACCACATTTTTGTTTCAAGCCACTTCTCCATTTGTGAGAATATCGTCCAACATTCCCCGCCATAAAGGAGAGGAGAAGAAATATTACAAAAACGATTTAGTAAGTTTTTCTTTGCTTCTAACGAAAATTTTGGCTTACGGCCATATCATGCTGGAACACCGGTTCCATGAACGGATGTTTTTCTCTAGACATTATGTATATAAATATATTTCTAAAGAAATGTCTAAAGATAGTTTACCTACTCATGAAAGATTAGTATAATCCCCCAGGAGGGAAGCCTTATATAAAAAGAAGATACTTGTGTTGCCTTCCGGAGTTAAACATCTCCACGATGAGTTGCTTTCACTACGGTTTTGTCAAAGGCTGAAGCTTCAGCTGCCTCCAAATATATTATTCTTTATCCGTCAAAACAAGTTATGTCACGCTTATGGCTACATCATGTTCAAACACTGGTTCCTTTAAGATCACCGAAGTTAAGCAACGTCGAGCCTGGCCAATACCTAGATAAGTGACCGCTGAGGAATACCAAGTGCCGTAAGTTTGGATATACGGGTGGCGTAATGGATAAGTCCTCGGATTTGTTCATCAGTTCCAATTCCAGTTGGGATCGTTATATTCACTCGCAACTACTTTTGGGAAAGGTATCAATTCACCTCTTCTCCTCCCAAGCTTAATAATACTTGTATAACTAAATTATTATTATCTCAAAAAAGTCTCACAATCGTATTTTCTGGCTTTAAATAAGCTCAAAGTGTTGGTAATCCGTAAAAAAACGAATCAATCTATCTAACGGAATTTTCGAATTTCTTACTACTTAGTTTAGCTTTTGGAAAGAATTTTTTTCGCTATTCCTATGCTCGTCTGATAGAACGCGTTCCAGATATTAAAATTTTGGTACTTGCCTAATTCCAACATCTTCAGTTCGTAGGCAGCGTCTGGTGCTGTTTTTCTTGTGAGTATAAAAAATAATTGTCATAACGGCTTCTTTTATATTAAAACCAACGAAATAATTCAGATTTATTCCCTTTTCCGTTGGCAAAAATCAGTCCACGATAAGCTCCATGTTTATTTTAGTCCAAGTTTAAATTCATTCGATTTTCAGAATCTGTAACATTCGCTTACAAATTCTGAATAAGCTTCTACCAAAGAGTTATTCAGACAAGATTTTCTCTTAGATCTTTTAACGGTAAAGAAAATTTTTTTTGTCTGTATTTGCATAATCGCAAGTGGGTTGTCATATCTGCAGGATGAAACATCTGCCGTTTCCTTATACACCTTCTTAAAGATCAACCAGTTTCATCCAATCAGGACGAAAGCTTGATGTCGTCGTAACTGCCATTTTGTGTCAAGTCTTGCAACAGTGACGTAGGTTGGTAAGAGCACTTAGCAATATTTGGTCTTGTGACTCGCAAGTGCAAAAGCAAGCGGGAAATGTAAAAGATAAAAGGTGAAAAAACGAGGGAAGATGACTATTATGAGAAAGAAAGAGAGAAGTAAATAGAAGAAGATGAAGAAGAAGAGGAAGAAGAAGAAGAAGAAGAAGAAGAAGAAAGAGGATGAAGAAGAAAGAAGAAGAAGAAAGAAAAAGAAGAGGAAGAAGAAGAAAGAGGATGAAGAAGAAAGAAGAAGAAAGAAGAAGAGGAAGAAGAAGAAGAAGAAGAAGAAAGAGGATGAAGAAGAAGAAAGAGGATGAAGAAAGAAGAAAAAAGGAAGAAGAAGAAGAAAGAGGATGAAGAAGAAAGAAGAAGAAGAAAGAAGAAGAAGAGGAAGAAGAAGAAAGAGGATGAAGAAAGAAGAAAAAAGGAAGAAGAAGAGGATGAAGAAGAAAGAAGAAGAAGAGGAAGAAGAAGAAGAAGAAGAAAGAGGATGAAGAAGAAGAAGAGGAAGAAGAAGAAAGAGGATGAAGAAGAAAGAGGGTGAAGAAAGAAGAAGAAGAAGAAGAAAGAGGATGAAGAAGAAGAAGAAAGAGGATGAAGAAAGAAGAAGAAGAAGAAGAAGAAGAAAGAGAAGAAAGAGGAGAAGGAGAAATACAAATGAAAAATTTTAGGAAAAAGTAAAGGAATGGAAAGGAACAATAATAAAAGAAGTAAAAAATTACCATTTCCTTATTAATCAGGGGAAGAGAGAGAGAGCAAGAGAATGAGAGAGAGGGTGAGAGTGAGTGAGTGAGTGAGTGAGTGAGTGAGTGAGTGAGAAAGAATGCGAGAGAGAGTGAGAGAGATGGAGCGAGTAAGAGAGTGAGAGTGAGAGAGACGAGTAAGAAAGAAAAGATTTTTCACTAATTCTCCACCCAATACTAGGTGCGAACGCTACTCATGGCGAATGAGGCTGTCATATGAATGTAAAAGGAGGAGGAAATAAGTGCAGTTCGGATAAGTTGTAAAGATAACGATTATCCCTAGACCTGAAAAGGTTAAGATTCTAGTGATCGGGGAACACCCAATTCCATAGAGTAAAGTTTCTGGGGAAGAAACACTACGGCTGGAACGTATTTCTTATTAATTTAATACAAAGGAAATAGCGATGATTCATCCCAGTGGCATGGCGGATCTTAGCAGCGAAGGTCTGAATCATAGAAAAAGAAGTGAATGAAGCAGGGAAATTAAGAGAGAAAAAGAGAGAGAGAGAAAGAATAAATGGTTTTAGTAAAAGGGGAAAATGATTGTGAAAGATTTAAAGAAAGAAAGAAAGAAAGAAAGAAAGAGAGGAAAAAAGAAAGAAGGAGACAAAGAAAGGGACAAAGAAACCATGTAGCCAAGATAATATACAAAGGGCTAAACACGGAAGCTGAAACGAACGAAAGAGAAGAAAGAAAAGGAAAAACATAGAAATAGGGAAAACATTTTGCAATCAAGTTTGTGAAAGAAAATAAAAGATTAGAATAAACAATAAATCAAGATACGGCCTCAAATGTTATGGCTTCAAATTCACATTGAATTTTTATATATTTTGTAAAAAAAACAAAAAAAAGGACATTTTGAACTTTTATCTCATAGTTTATGCAGGATCGAGAGGTGATGGACAAGTTCTTTTAGTTAATGAGTAAATTGTAATGAATGAATGGATCACGAATCTGATTAACTAGGACTAGGTTAGTTAATGAGGACCAGATCCTCTTCCAATCGGGCCTTGTGCAACAGTTCGGTATGCTGTTATTTATTAGATTAAAAATATAAATATGGCACAAAGCCAAAAAGTGGTAAAAGGAGTTTAGGCTGGTCTTCACTATCTTATACCTAGCTAATCCAATTCACGACCCATTCACTCGTTAGAATTTGCGCATCCACTACAAAAACTAGTCCGTCACCAATCAATCCGCCATACACCATAACACCGCATCCTCTAAGAGGTCCTACAAAAAGCCCCCCTAGTTTTAAAATTTTCATGATAATAAATATTTCGTACATAAAAATCTAGTATTTGACAATGAGAAGGGGGATGATAACCAAAACAAACTAAATATCAAACAAGGCAAAATAAATATAACTGTATGTTACAGAATAAATATCGAATGATATGGCTTCAAAGGACGTCATAGGAATGATATGACGTTACAGGGTGTCATAAGAAGGATATGGTCTCAGAAAAGACGTCATAAGAATGATATGGCCTCAAAAGAAAAAAGAAGGGAGAGTAGGCTTCCTCTTCCTCTTTTGTCGAACTCTTTACCTCCAGACGAAGAGGAACCCAGACGAAGCTATGCCGAAGAACGGAGTCTCGTTTGGGGAGGTAGACAAACCCGACCCAACGTATACGGGGTGTGTGGGCAATATTTGCCCGAACATAGGGGCTCGGAACGTCCCACGTTAAAAACTGGCTTTGTGCCACATCTTGCCTTCTGCCACATCTTGCCTTCTGCCACATCTTGCCTTGTGGGGGGGTGGTAAATAGAGAGAAGGATCTAACCTCAAAAGGGTTCAATAGAAAGATATCACCTCAACAGAGATCATAAGAAACGTCGTGCCTCAAAAGAGGTCATACGAAGTATATGGCCTCAAAGGAGATCATAAGAAAGCTATGGTGTCAAAGGACCTCATAAGAAAAATGTGGCCCCAAAAGGTATTATGTTACAAGAAGGATATGGCCTCAAAATATGTCAATAGAAAGATATTGCCTCAAAAGTGCTGACAAAGAGAAATATGTGTAACATTATTGTTGTAATAACTAATAAGAAAAAATACTCAATGTCACTTAGCTAAACCTATTGTTTATTCACTTCTGAACATTCTGTGAGTATGTCGGCAGATGGATGCGTGGCTGTGGGGGCCCTCTACGAACGTAGATCACTTTTTTGCAAGGATATGGGAGACTCTCTATCATTCTGTTCCCGGGTGTGAAGCTTATATATCTTTCTGACATTCTGTTGCCTCATGTGTGCACATCATAAGCTAAGACTACCTATTTACATGGGTGGAGTACAGCAGCTAATATCCTGTGAGTGCGAATCTGCACATGGTGGATAGGAGGTGGCCTATACGATCAGCCCTATGTTTTATGTGACTACTTGACGTTCTAGTGTTACCCCGAGTGCAAAGTCTACTTTGCTGTCTCTGTGGGTGGGTCCAGTAAATATTGATTAACTTTTCTTAAAACAAAAGTGCCTTCCTGACATTAATTTCAGCTTAAACCATCTGATATTTCCTGGCGTGAATTCAATAGTATACATGTAATTTTTACTGATGAATGTAGAGCTACATTGGTTGGATCCAATAGCTGGGCTAGAGAAGGTGTCTTTAACCCTTTGATCCCTTACCACCGCTTTACCGGTGGTAGAGAAAAGTGGCTTAATGCCCATCTACCATCGCGTACATAACGCGGAAAGAGGGCATGACAAATTTGACATTCTCAGGACATATTATTGACAAGATGAACAGAGGAAAACTTTACTAAGAACAATAAATGTCAGGAAATTGTAGAGATTCGTGATAGATCGTGACCTGTATGGACATGACATATAGAAGAAAAGAAAGAAAGAAATGTAATGCTGTTCCTTGTACATCTTTTTGTACTGAATTTGTGAATGATTTTGCATTTGAAAAAAATGATATTAAGCCTGATATGGCATCTCGAATCCAGTCATTTTCCTATCATCGTAAGGTAACTTCCCTGTGACTTTTCTATAAATATTTGTTGTTCTGATGAGCTTTCCTCATTTGTAGCTAGACTGAGTAGGTACTGAGCGTAAGAGAAGAAAAAGTTAAAATCTTTAAAGAATGAAAAAATAAAAGAACAAGAATTAAAAAAAATTAGAGGATCAAGATTTACATTAGCTTTAAGTTTAAAGTTGACTGGAAAGCAAAAAGTCTGAAGCGAATTACACAATTCACAAAGTCTAGGTACCAAAGAGGTAACAAATATTTAAATCCATAGCAGGAGATGGAGAAATGAACTGGTTTCAAACTCTCCTAAGGGTATCTGTCTGCATCTGAACCCGGCTCGCCTCTTTTTGCTCCGAAAACACTTAATCTAGGAGAGCACAACTATTTTTCTTCTAAGTGCCGTGTCCGTTCAGGACGTGGGAAATCATACCTGCCCAAA